ATTGTCGGGGTTTCGCAACACCGACGACATTGTACGCCGAAATGACAAATTAACACTTCAGCTATAATAAACAAAAACACGGAATGCGTCGGATTAGATTCGTATACAGGTGGTCGGGAAACGGCTTTTGTTTTGTCGCCGGAATACGAGTAGATAATTTTAACAATCGCCTCGATCGTTCTCTTTAACAACCACTGGCTTTTCGAAAGTACAGTGAATAAAATAGAAATATAAAATAATCTTCGCCTTTGGTAAATTTTGTAGTAACGCTTATGGACCGGACTCCTTATCAAACGAATACATTTAGTAATTACTTTCAGGGACTTTGCGGCCTCAAACGAAATGGTTATCGTCTTCTGCTGTAGGATCGGATGAATCTGCCGATGATCGGAAATTAACCGGTTAAAAAAAAGAATCATAATAAAATCTGTAACACTTCCCAGTGAAATTTTCGCATTTCGCCCGGTCGTACTATTCGCAATGAAAAGTTTCCGTTTCAATTAAAATGGGGTATGTGTGTCTGTACTATTAAAAAGTTCGATTCTAAAACACGTATCCGTAAATATAACAGACTCTACTACTTTTCTATCAGCGAGGAGATAAAACACTTATTTATTACGTGCTCGACTATTTCGCCGTATTCAGCTGTTAGAAACGTCGGATAAAGGTTGCACCTTCCAAATGTTCAATATTTTATCTCGCCCCTGCTGCCACTGCCGGAAACGTATCGCTAATTAATTACATACACAATACACATGCACGACGTATTTCCCTAAAACATCACATCACAATTGTTGTGCATACACGAGGTGTCCTCAAGTTTTTATGTAGTTTATCAAAATATTTATTCTATTGTAAAAAAATTACTCCAGTGGGCCTCCAGTTTGTGTAAAAAAACTGTGACAAAAAGCATTTTTGTATTTGTACTCTGTAAAAAAATTTCACTCAAATTTCACTCAATTTCACTCAATATTATATCAAGCCCGATTGAGTGAAATTTTCACTCAGTATGAGTACAACTGAGTGAAACTATTGCATCAGAAATGAGTAAGTTTTACTCAAATCTGAGTTACAGCTAACTATCAATTGAATGACTTTTGACTCTATTCTGAGTATATAAAACCAATTTAGAGTTGACTTTCTCTCTAATATGATTTAAAAACTATTATTGAGTCATTTTTTACTCAGACTTGGTTTTTAATTAACTAAATATTGAGTGCAAAAATAAATGATTAATTAAGATATACAATGATGAAATTAATTCACTTCGCGGGGCTTCCTCCTGTCCTGTCCTGGCCTCCTGGCTGGGACCCGCTGGGACTCTGATTTAGGTACAAGTGCACCAAATACGAGTTTACGTGAAGAATTTATTTAAGGAGTACCTATATTTGAGTGAAAATACTCAGTATTAGTTTAAATATAATCACAAATGAGTAAAATTATCAAAATACCCAATATTGAGTGAAAATGTACTCAATAATTTCACTCAATGGATTCACTCCGACCTTTTATTGCTTTCACTCACACCGAATTTCTTACAGTGTAGTAGGTGGTAATTTTCCGTAAACCCCAATTTTTTTTTATAAATCGACAAAATATTTTACAGAATAACTTAGTAAAATGCCCACTGTAAAAAAATCGGTGTGAGTGAAAGCAATAAAGGTTCGGAGTAAATCCATTGAGTGAAATTATTGAGTACATTTTCACTCAATATTGGGCATTTTGATCATTTTACTCATTTGTGATTATATTTAAACTAAACCTGAGTACTTTCACTCAAATATAAGTACTCCTTAAATAAATTCTTCACGCAAACTCGTATTTGGTGCACTTGTACCTAAATCAGAGTAAATGCCCTCATTACTGAGTGAGTTTAAAGGTATATTAATTTGGAGTAATTTGAATGGCGCCGTAAAGATGTCACCACTTACATATTGCTTCTGTAATCTCGACCACAGTTGATAGGGGCCCGTTAGATGTTCCAGGAAAGCGTGATCGCCAGGAGAACAGGCCTTAGCCGGCGGCGGCGGGTCTCAGCTGGCGGGTCTCAGCCAGGACAGGAGGAGGCCCCGCGAAGTGAATTAATTTCAACACTGTATATCCTAATTAATCATTTATGAGCGATTTATTTTTGAACTCAATATTTAGTTAATTAAAAACTAAGTCTGCGTAAAAATTACTCAGTAGTTAAATTTAAATCAACTTTAAATTGGTTTTGTATACTCAGAATAGAGTCAAAAGTTGCTCAATTGATAGTTAGGAATAACTCGGATTTGAGTAAAATTCACTCATTTCTGATGCAATAGTTTGACTCAGTTGTACTACTTATAGTGAAAATTTCACTCATCGGGTGTGGACAGAAATTGATACATTATTGAGTAAAATTGAGTCAAATTTGAGTGAAATTTTTTTATAGTGTACCCAGATGCATTGTCTTTGTCTGTTCCCATCGCCCCATTAGGTTATCTCGGCGTGGTGGATGGCAGTATGGCGTATGGTTTGCTTTGGAGTTGGACAAGTTTATCTGGTTATTCTAGTGAAAATTGTATTTAAATGCAGTGATTTAATTACAATCATTAAAAACAATACATTAAGTCTCGATTAATATTTGGTTACATAAACGGACAGTTAAATTGTTTCTATAATTACGTATTTGTAACTTACAATATAGGTTATGGCATTCTATTCGTCCGATCAGTTCACCAAAACCACTGTGGCACCTTAGTAGTTTATGACTTTAATACAATGATATTTAAATTAAAATTTAATGAAAATATAAACCAAGTCTGAGTAAAAAATTACTCAATAATATTAGAGAAAAAGTCAACTCTAAATTGGTTTTACATACTCAGAATAGAGTCAAAAGTCACTCACTTGATAGTTAGCAGAAACTCGGATTTGAGTAAAACTCACTTATTTCTGATGCAATAGTTTTACTCACAATCAGTTGTACTTATAATAATAAAGTGAAAATTTGACTCAATCGGGTGTGGACAGAAATTGATACATTTATTGAGTAAAATTGAGTGAAATTTGAGTGACTTTTTTTTTAAAGAGTAGTGAGGAAAAAATGTTATTACCAATTTACCTCGCAAAAAATGCTTTTTTGTTTTTCTCCAATATCGGCAAGACTTATTTCAAGAAAAATTACCAACTAGGGAGCCTAGATCAAATGTCAATCCAGAGGCGTTCGTAATTTTTCGTGTTTTTATGTCTATTTATGTGCTTTTCTACAAATTAATCTTTGTCTGTCGAGTTGAGAAAAAAATTAATAAAACACTGAAACATTTTGTATTTTATGTTATTATTTTCTTTGAATGAAAGTGGATTACAGTAAAACTTATCTTCAGAAAATCAGAAAATATCTTAGAGTGTGATTGTTTTGTAAGTAAAATTGAAAAAAATGATTTTTTTTCTGTTGAAAACATAAACCCATGTTTCTTGTATGGTCCGGGGATATGCAATTAAGTTACGTTTTTTCTACAAAAATTAATCAAGATACGAAAAACATTCGAGAGACAAAAAAGTTGTATTTTTAGTTGCTTAATTGAAAAAATATATAAAAATCTCAAAAACAGCAATTTTTTTGCAAAAGTTTAACACCCTATATCTGTTTATATGAACTTTTTGTCTTAAAATCACTCAAATAATCGTCTGTTGAATTTATTGTACATACTTAATTAACACCCTGTATGTATCCGAAGACAATTCCTAGAAGATTTAAATCTTTACAATCGCGAAACTACAATTATTTTCGTAGAAAATCCATATTTTGAGATTTTATTAGTATTTATTTAACACAATTATACACTGTGTCTCAAAATGATGGAATAAAATCCATATATTAAAAAAAATTTCGGTGATGTAAAAGTAGAAAATATTGCAGAAAAGTGACAATTTCTATTTACTAATTGACCTGTTTTGGAGATTTTTGTAAATTTCAACAGGAAAAAAGTATGAATTTTGTTCCATTAATTTGGAACACAGTGTATGTACCCTAGAGCAGAACAGAAAGTGAATACATTTAATAAAATTGCAGTAAAGTTAAACACATTTTAAATACAATTTGTTGGAAATGTATGACATAAATTGTGGTCAACCGCATTCCCTATATAAATTATTATAGTCAACAGGGCTGCAACAGTGTACGTTTTTGATATAATTTTTCCCGCGATATGCATTGTTTCGAATCAACCGGCGTGGCAAGACAATTTCCATAATTATTTAACGTTCCCACATAATTAATAAATAAACGTAAGACGGGCATTTTTGTCATCGAGACCTTGATGAATTGTTTTAAAGGATTCGTGCTTTTAATTAGTTTTTGTTAAAAGCGGCTAAAAGCTAATATTGAAACTCGTTGTGTTAGATGAATTCTGGGAGCTGAGACAAAACTTTCCGTGGATAAAATATTTATTAGTTTGTTTTCTATACTCTTCTACTTTAAATCTATACCGGTTTCCTAATAAGAGGGTAGTCCGCAATTATATCCGCAATAAAAGGCGATTAAAAATTCGTTGACGATAACGAATTTTAATAAAAATATTCCAAATATTAAAAAATACACTCCTCTATCTTACTGTTATAAATTAAATAAAATTCTACAGAGGATCTTATCTTGTTCTTAAGAACAAAACGATTTTAACTGTTACTTCATATATACCAACTTTTAAATTAGAATCTTTCAAAGTTACGTTTCTCCAGAGGAGATTCAAGTATTCCCGATTGATTCTAGTGCTACTAGGGGCATACCAAGTTTCCTGTGATAGTGGTCTTACTATCTGCGGACTACACTTTCGAATTTATTATTCAGTTCAGAATAAATAAGCTGCTCTCTCGAGCAGTGCATCCAGTTTTTATGTTAGATGGCGTTAAATGACTTATACGTCGCTGTTACTGTTACGCGATTTCGTCTCAAATGTCAAATGCTAGTGTGTAGCGGAATTTAACACCACCAGCTCCAGCCGCATGAGAATTACTGTAAAAGATGTTCTACTTACAATGTACATGAAGCATCATCCTCTTACTGACAGACGGCGGCACCCCATTGGCCGCTATGCACAAATAAGCGCCCATCTCAGATCTGGTGACCTTCGTAAGGCTGAGGGTTTCTCCTTCCACGGATGTGAGCCGTTCAGTTTTCGAATTCGGACCTGTGCGCGTTATAATAGACCCTCCGTCTTCCCTTCGCCACACCACTCGCGGCTTGGGGTGCCCCCTCGCCTTACAAACTAATTTTGCGGAACCGCCTTCCGGTACCATCATGTCTCCTGAGGTTTCCTCGTAGATTATATCGGGCGGGATCACTACTTCTAGGAAAGCAGTCTGGAAACCAAAGAGAACGCCAATTCAGATACTGTGAAAATGTTTATATGTTTTACATGTACAGGATGTTGCAAAAATACCCGAACCTTAGATTTGACCTTGACCTTGATTCAAGGTCAAACTTGAACATATTAAGTTCTATTTTTGTGCCAAAGACGTTTCAAGCTAAATTTATTGGAATTTGAATGACAAATTGGACGGTGACCTTGGATTTGATCTTCAATATAAGTTGCAAGGTCAAACTAAGGTCAACTTAATATACGTTATTTGTTTATGCTGGTAGCCGATACAGCGCTAAAATTTATGTCCGAACTGGGATAAAAAAAAAATCCAAGATGTCTTTGTGGTTCATTTGAAGGACAAACTAATTCACAAAAAATAATGAATGTAAAATAAATAGAATTTAATAGACGTATTCAACTAAAACTGTTAGTACGATATTGACAATAATTTTAAAGTAACAAAAAATAAGGTTTTCCAATAATATTTTCAAGACGAGTTTTGTTTGACCTTGAAACTTACGATCAAAATCAAATCCAAAGTCACCACACTGTGGTTTCTTGATATCCTACAACTTGTACTTGAAACTTTTTTTGATAAAGTCTTTATTGCCGTGATTATACATTAAATGTGATTTTTACTGATCTTTTCATTCATTTGCACCCGTTCAGCTAACAGCACAGCAACAACCTCCTAAAGTGAGTTGGCTTCCTGAAAATTTTATAACGTAAAAAATGTTTTTCCCAATGCAAAGAGGTTAAATTCGGTTAACACATAAAACGTTTTAAAGCAATAATATTTTACAGGATATACGGGCGTAGGTAAATTCGTTTTTAGTAACCCGATAGATTTGAATGAATGAAACTTCAATATAAGTAAAAAAAGGTACAATTCAATGTTGGTATCCAGTGTCCAGCGATTGGGACTTTTACAATCTTTGTGCAAGCCAATACCTTTTTTATGTATGAGCAGCCCATTTTGTGCGGACCCCGTCCTAAAAGGGGCTCTCGTTTCCCACGGGTTAAAGCTGTCACTCTCAAAGAAAGCATTTAAACCAATTCCATTGAGTCAATTTCTTGCTTTGTAGCGGCGTTAGCATGCCTCTGCATCTTGTACAGCTAATTGGAAACTTATAGGAAAAGGATATTATCAGCTGAATTGTAATTCTCACACAAAGTTTGTTGTAAATTTTGTTACTATATAACTGCATTGTATATATTTTTTTAAAACTTTTCCCCCCTCTTTACCTATATGTATATACAGATTGACAAAATTTGATGTTCTACTGTCCTTAGGATTTATGGTACGTGACTCAGAAACACCCCGTATATAAACATTATTTATTTACAGAGTAATACTTCACAACAATTCCGCCGGTTGTCATACAAAGGCGTATCTAACTATTATACAAATTCCACTTATTTACATTCCCCAGACGTTAATCACACGAATACATATTTATGCAACTGAGAAAGTTATTTTGAAGTTAGGCCTCGTCTTGTGTGGCTTTTAATTGTTTAAAATTCCACGCCATGAATGTTGAATAAGCACGGTTGCCAAATGAGAATTGAGCGAATGTGACAAAGACGGCAAATTGCAAACTTACTCAGACACCTGACGCCAGCCGACTCACTTAACAGAGCAGTTAACCATCCTATCTATGCAGTTACACCTTTGAGCAAGCACAGAATGTAGACAAGGCGCTTCATAATTATTAATTCACAGCCAAGCACATCAACAACAAAAATGCTGAAGTTGATGGTGATGTACAGGGTGCTACATATAGTTCAAGTTAAAGTAAGTTTTGCTGTATATTATTTCAATTTAATTGTTGCCAACAAAACTGATGATACACATGATCTGACAAGTGATATGACATGCATCAAATTCACCGAGGTGATATGACAACATTTGTGTTACCTTAATAAGCAATCGTAAGAATGATGTGACATTGATTCAGCAAGTAACATGGATAACATGTAATCTGACTAACGATCTAGCACTAAAGTGATATGACAATGTGTTACTCTATTAAGAATTGTGCCCTATATTAATTTTTGTCCAATTTGAAGACGCATATTATTTGTTGGATCCAGTGTCAGATCACAATCGTGTCATACATTCCTAAACCAAAAAGTTTACCGTGGCGATGTGGCAACATTTGTCACCTTAACAAGAAACGGCTTGTGTCAAGAATGATCGTTAGAATTATGTGATCTGACATTGATCTAGCAAGTAACAGAGATCTTCAACTTAGCGAGACATTTTGTCACCTTAAAGAGCAAAAACTTAATATTTGCTACATTTTACTTCAATTTCTCAATTTTTTCAACGTTTATATTGTATAAATGATATGACACTTAATTTGACAAGGGACATGATAACAGATACAAGCATATACATCAAGCTATCACCTTAGTGAGCAATGATTCAAGCGAAAAACAGTCGCCAAAATGATGTGATCTAACATATGACTTAGCAAGTAACCTTCAACTTAGCGTGACACCTTAAAGAGCAATAACTATAGGCAGAACATTCACCAAAATAATATGTATCCTGACTGATTATCTGACACAAGTGATATGACAGTGTGTAACTATAATAAGAACTGTGTTGTGTTTCTGTCCAACTGAAGACGCATATTGTATGCTGGACCCAGTGTCAGATCACAAGTCAGATCGCTACAGGGGACGTCAAAATGGTGTGACATATGAACCGAAGTATGTATTAGTAAATAATATATTCAAATTAAATAAATACAAGTAAGTATGTAAGTCAATGATCACTAAAGTGACCTGACAATCTAGTATCGTAATGTTGCACTAATTTATATATTTACATTGTTTAATTGAGAGATTACGTATCATATCATATTACTCACTTAAAACATTCACTAAATATTTAAATTTAACTACGAAATCGATAATATGATTCAGTGAGAGCAATCTATTAGGTTGGTATTAATAGTTCAAAGATATCGCAGTATTGTCTGCCACAGTTTGATTGCTGTTTAAAATTATATGAATTTTGATATACTACTGGACAAATAAACTAAAATGCATCCCAAACTTTAGTGTATAGCAAGTTATTTATCTCTTGAATTATATACCTATATACTCATATTAAAAATTAATACGCATTTGAAATAATTCATCTCTCAGTAAGAAATTTAAATTCAAAACAAACGTGACAGTCGGTCTATTGGGACAGCTGCAACGTTACTTTTTCCTCATTATCATAGATGCGAATACCACCACAGTAGAAGCGCTTAGAGAATTGAATGGGAAATTAATCAGGAAATGCGACATCCACAATACCTCTTTCTAAAACGTATTGCTTTTCTTTAATAGCATTTAATATACATTTCCTTTAGTAAGCCTCTTATAGTCGTCATTCAAAATTAATGGGCTCGAACAATTATTTGACATTGCTATTGTGTAATTTTACAGCATTTTTTATTAACGATGTTGTTTTTAGCAGCTCCGTTATACAGGGTGCCCCAAAAAGATCCTATAACTTGTCAGGATTTATCAAAAAAGTTTCAAATAAAGATTGTAGGATTTCAACAAACCAAAGTTGTTGACCTTGGATTTGACCTTGGCCTTAAGTTTCAAGGTCAAACCAAGGCAAACTGGAAAATATTAAATGTAACACCCTACTTTTTACGCCAGTAATCAATAGGTTTGATCTTGAACCTTAAAGTCAAGATCAAATCCAAGGTCACAATAGTCAAAGAGTAGCGCCTCCCCTAAACGGTTTATTAGTGAACTAAGCAACTTACCTGCATCTTCATAGGATCGGTATTTACTTGGCACATGTACTGTCCCCTGTCTTCTCGCTTAACACCCCGTATATTTAGCGTCCATGTATTGAAATCGTTGTGTGTTACAGATAAACGTGCGTTGTTGGTAATAACGTGTTCGTGGATTGCTAATATTGCCTTGGTGTCGGCCTTTATCCAAGCGACCTGATTCAAAATGAAATGTGAACAGTTGTGGTAAATAAGCTATTATTCGATTATCTTTTATTTAGACATAAAATACGGCAACGGATTTTTTATCATATTCACCTACAGCCGTTGATATGTCATAATTTCAATCTATTACGACCTATTTTCTGATAAAAACTAAACTAAACAGTGCTTGATTTGAATGTTGAACAAGATTAATCGACTATACAGGATGTCGCAGCGACGTTACGAAAAACTTGCAAACGAGGAATAGTTTTAGAAACGTGATGCTTCTGTTTTTTTTTCAAGGCAAGAATCACCTCGTTTTGCGCAATGTCGCTGTCACGACCTATACAGGGTGTAACTCTAAATGAGGGTCAGTTTTTTAGGTTCAACACTACCTATGTGTTCTCCAGAACACTGACATAAAATATATTTTTTAAATTGTTTATTGCACTTTAACATTTGTCTACGCCGCTGCTTTTTCTATGACTTAGCCACGTGTTATTTTAAAGTCACCATATTATATTTATGTCAGTGTGGAGTGTTTTAAAAAATATATTTTTTTGCATAATTTACTGAATATTGACTACTATTGGTTATAAAAAAATAAAGGGATATACTTGAGTTTGAGGTTAAGCTAGCCTTTCCAGCGGCGGGGTATGAAAATTTTCACATGTGTAAGGATCAAAGGTAGCATCGACATAAGTATGACCCCCATTCAGAGTTCGGCTCATTTTGTAGCTATATGTGTGTAATTTTTATGGAGCTGTGACCGTTTTGAAAAATCAAGATGGCGGATCTCAAAATGTCTGTTAATTTGCATAACTAACAACCTTTTGCAAAAATTGTTTATAATAACAAAAGAACTGACGGTTTCTGCGCTTTGTCGCCAAAAAACTTTAATTTGTTCCTGAATACTTGAATTTTGGGAAACCAAGATGGCGGATCTCAAAATGGCCGTCAATGTGCAGAAGAAATGAGATACGGGACATGAAGTGCTTGTTTATAATCAATGAACCCGTTTCAATCCACACAAATATTTATGTTAAGGAGTCTGCTATCTTGGAAAAATGATACTGTAGGTAAACAGTGTTTTTGTGAGACAACAAAAACCAAAATGGCGGTCAGAACCGTGTACAAATCTACTAGAAATCTGTTTATTTGCAAATTCTTTAGATTATTTGACATATTAATTAATTTTCGAGTTAAAAATCATCAGACTTGTTGCTTCTGCATGTTGACAGACATTTTGAGGTCCGCCATTTTGACTTTTTAAAATGGCCACAGCGCTAATGTATATTATATACATTTGTTTTGTTTTTTTTCGAAGACCAAGAGAGACAACCAAACATAATTCTGAATTCCACTACGAAGCTGAATATCCGAAATTCCCAGTGAATTAATTGCGAGCTCTATTTTCTGAAATTTGGAGTAGCGGACAGAAAGGAATCCTGTTATTAACCTTTTACTAAAGGTAAACACACCGTATAACATAAATTTAAGTTTAGTGCTGGAAGTTTAACAAGTTTTATATTAAAAGTTTTTCCTTCGAACTTTAACGCGAAAGGTGCTACAGCGGCTCATAGTTTTGTCAGTCTAAATTTAGGAAACGCGAAATTTTTAAAACTCCGACAGAGGCAGTTAGAATGGGGTCCAGAGGAAGTGGTCTATTAAAACGTGTTCACTTTCTATTTGACTTAAAGTAAGCGACATAATTCAATGACAATAGCGTACTTCTCGCCGAACTAAAAGGGGTAAGTGCCATGTGTGCTAATTGCATCGCAAACTCCCTGTTATGATTTAGTTACAACCTGTGTTGCTCTTTGCAAGAAGTGGGGGCTGAAAAAGCGCAAAAAGTTAACGTTTAAATGTTGCCTGTCTCTCGAGATCTAATGTGAAGATTAATGACTAGTTGTGTTAACCATGATATACTACTACTGGAATACTGAGAACGGCTGACCGGGCATAGTCCTTTTAATTGACCATTTTCATTTAACAAGAATTTTTATTAAACACCGATAATACAATATTCCCCAGTAGAATATCTAATACAATTAGAAACAGACTTTGAATCGCTTTTTTTAATATAAAATGTTACAAAATTAATTCAAATTAAACAACAGCGAGAAAATTAACATCTAAGAATTTTCATCACAGTTAAAAAATAAGGTTCGAAAGAGGTGCCTTTTAAATTATTCAACTCTTTGCGAGGCAGCCTGGACATCGTTTAATTTTGAAAAGGACGGCATACGTGGAAAGTAACAAATAAAGAATTTTTATGTCAACTTTTATCTCGGCTTGATGAAATTCCTCGCCAAACTAATTACATTGCAATTACGAATGTTAAAAGAGGTAAAAAATATCATTTGTTCGGGCTGTTCGGACTAGCCAAATGGAATCGAAAGTTTAGTCAAGTGGAAAACGAAATCAGTATATACCGTGTTATTTAATACCGAAAGAAGGAAACTTTTCCCTTTTAGTTACAAAATCGTTCTATGTTTTGTAATATTGAATATCTTCTTTTGCTAATTGGCTGACACAGCAACATTGAAAAGAGTCATTTCTATACAGGCTATAAGAAGTATGACTACCATTAGTTCAGCATCAGATAGGGTAATCATAAGTGAACAAAAAAGTTGTATTCAAAATACAGCGAGTATTAATATTGGGGAGTTTCATCACAACGTGACAACAGCGCTTAACCTGATGATGCAGACCACGTGTACACGCGGCAGACTTGTCCTACGGAGAAAATGTAAACAGCTGTTATTGTGAAACATTTAGTAAATTTCAAGACAATCGTTTTCAAGTTTTTAAATAAATAAAATAAAATGTATCGATTTTGTAGTACGAAGATAGCATTCTGCTTATATTTTAACTCGAATTTTAGTAATTATAAATCTCTTAAAACAGGAACTTAACTTTTAATCTTTACACTTTAAAGTTTGTACAAGTACTTAATAAACATCCAGTATAAATGTCATTCTGTTTATCGTCCGGGAAATGTAATTATGACACACTCTGTATAAGTTAAGTCTCCAATATATAATTTTACATCGCTGTCATTTAAAATATATCAAATATTTAAAAATCATTGAACTGCGATTATTTTTATTTTTTTCTATAGAATGGCGAATGCGCCAATGTTACGCAACCATATTAAAAAATGGGGGTATATCAAAATATCCGTCACATATACACGAAATGTTGATGTAGTAACTATAACGCCTTTGTATAGTACAACTAAGAAACATATAAACTATTGATATTTTCAGGAATTGAATTAAATTTGACATTTTTATTAAAATTTTGGAATATGCTGTGTATATGCTTTAAACATTTATCTGCCAGCTGAGTAATACATAATTATGACGGTGCGCAAATCACGTTTCTTACTGCTTTATTTTATTGACTTTTAACAGAGATAAAATCTATTGAAAAAATATGTTGACAAAAAAAATATAAAATTTTTACAAAAAAATTAGAAATCGTACGCAATTTTCAACTTCAGCACAACGTATGTCGCATATGTTCAAACACTTTAAGGAATTTAATAGCCACATAACAAAATATACATCGGCAAAGACAGAAGAGTGAATTACAAAATACGTATGTCTATAATTAATTGATGCACAAAACTGTTGTTCATTGAACAAACCGCAAAAACATCATTATAAAATAATTATAAAGCTCTAATCAGAACGTAGTGTGTTTGCAGTGATTTCAACAAGAACAGCGTTTTTAATCAAAGTGAGATTTTGCATCATAATATACGACATACGCTGTAAAACCTAACCTCAAAAAAGTTCTAGCATAAGATCAAAAATTAACTATACAGCTTACTTTTTTTTGTAATTCTATTTTATCTACAGGGTGTAAAAAGTTTGACTGCCATTACTTCAGCACGAGATAGAAGATATACTAATCATAAATGAACAAAAAATTTGTATATTACAGCGGTGTAAGATTAACAGTTTTCAAAATACAGCGAGTATTAATATGGGGAAGTTTCATCACAACGTGACAACAGCGCTTAACCTGCTGATGCACACCACGTGTACACGCGGCAGACTTGTCCTTCGGAAAAAATGTAAACAGCTATTATTGTGAAATATTTAGTAAATTTCAAGACAATTGTTAAATAAATAAAATAAAATGTACCGATTTTATAGTACGAAGATAGTGTTGTGCTTAAATTTTAGCTCAAATTTTAGTAATTATGAGTTTCTTAAAACAGGAACTTAACTTTTAATCAAATTACGTATTTGAAAAATATGTAATTAAAGCACCCAAAGATTCACATCGTCCAAATAATCTACGTAAAATTTTTAAACCCACAAGTACAAAATAAACATATGCTCAAAATGTCCACCACCATTTTCGATGCACACACCTTCGAATCCAATTTTCGCGCACTACCTGGAAAACACCTCAAGAATGGAAATAGTGGTACGCAAAAAACACTCCGACACGGTCGAATCCAGATACCAACTGAATTGCGTATTGTTGGTTGCTGGACACCTTAGTACCTCGTATTAATAAACCGATGCGCCGTTGTCACATTGCTCGATATGAATTTTATCGAATTTTAAATTTATTACAACGCTAATTATTTTATAGAATTAAGCATAAAGAAGTTAAAAAAAGTGACAAACATTTTATTCTATGGTATTCTATACATGTAGTTTTGTCAATATTCCTTGGAGATTTTGATAAATTTTTTCTCGGAATGGTTCAATTTAGGACCCACATCATATAAGATTTTTTTGTTTATTTTAATGTATTCTATTGCCTGTAAAAATTAAGGCAGTCAAACTTCTAACACCCTGTATAAAATGTTATATAAACATAAAATATTTATAAAAAGAGTAATTGAATAGCATAATTTCTCCCTTGTTTAATCAACTTCAGAATTTGGAACTTTAATTAAGTCAAAATTGGCTATTATTCATGTCTTATGTTAATAAACTGATGGCAGTGCCATAACGACCAATAGTAGTGGTCAACGACTTAAA